AAAAAAAAACAACAACAGCAACAACTGACAACCCTACGGTGCTCAGTTGTTGATGTTGTTGTGCATTTAAACAGGCTTAGTCATTACAGCAGGAAAACCTCTTGACACTACATGTACAAGTTCACTTGACATGTGTAAAGAGTGCCAAGTTTAGAGAGTTAAAACTCAGATGGGACATTGCACAGAATACGGCTAAATTGAGAGATTGTTGTTGTGTTACGTCCCATTAGGACTAAGAGCTAAATAGGTAATTATTATTAGAGGATAAAGTAAGTAAGTAAGTAGTAAGTAAACATACATTTCGAACTTAAAAATTGTAACGACTTGTTATGTCTACTTTCTCGCTTGTAACAACTCCCAGATACCGACATTTGAAAACAGCATTCCAACCGAAAGGAATAAGACTAAGCATAAGGCCCCAAGTACGCATTGCGGACCTATTTCTGAAATAGCGTTATGCGTGATGTGCTCACGCCGACTAAACATGGCGACGTTTGACAACTGAGACTTCTTATCCAGCGGCGACAAACGAGAGTTTTTTTCGTTCCTTGAGTGACTGCGACACCACCGTTTAGAGACTTGAAAGTTTTCTGTGGGCTGATGGTCGAGGTAAACGTTTTTTCGTCAAGCTGCGTCTTGTATTTTATCCTGTCTCCGATACTTCCGCATGCAGGTACGTTTCAGTGATTCAGTATCTATTCGGCATCTGTTTCATTTGCTGCATGAACTGAAAATAGAATGGTGTTGGTGACAAACATGGACAAATTACGTTTGTTAAACTTGAAGTCTGATCACAAATAAGTTTAATATAAGCATAGAATTATATAAAGGAATACATGTTTTCAGATAGTTGTCCGAAGCCCATATTCATAGTAAAGACAGTAAATAATGTGACCTCACGCGAACACGTTCCTAACGGTTAGTCGTTCTTAAACGGATAGCCGTTTGGAATCCGTTCATTAGCCGTTCGAACGGGCTGAGATACCGTTCGAACGGAGTTATCCGTTCAAGAGCATTGACATCCGTTCGAACGGCTCGAGCTATCCGTTTGAAAAACATTGTCATCCGTTCGAACGGCCGGGCTATTCATTTAGTAAACTTTGCCATCCGTTCGAACGGCTCGAGCTATCTGTTCTCGGAAGCATAAAATGTCATCCGTCAACAAAATTGGTTAACCGTTCTAACGAACAACTTGCCAAACGTCACGAACTTTGTAAACATGAGTTGTTTGCATGAATGAAGACGGTTTCTTTTTCTGCTCCTTAGTCATCTTTGCTTTTATAACATCCGATTATCGCTACGCAGTATTTTTATTCAAGGCTTAAGTGTTATTCAACAAGTTTTTCCGAAACTGTTTTGATCGCTGACAGTATCCAAATATCAAGGCCCTTTTTTGCTTTTTTGTTTTTGTTTTTGCTTTTTTTTTGTTTTGTTTTGTTTTGTTTTTTTTTTTGAGGTTTAAAAGACGATATCTCCCGTGGGAATACGCTGTGGCGAACGCAGATATATTTCCGGCTGTGCAAAAGAGGTCTTCACGGCCATCGTCTTCATTCACCATTTCCCTTTTCTCGGGAAAAAAAAAATCTTTTGACTCAACGATTTTAAGTATAATTTAATAGACAAACTTGATATCAGTGAAATCATCGATATCTTCGCTAGTGAGGATATGAGATTACTTCGATTCATGGAAAATGCGAGCGTACGATTTTTATTCACGAGTTGAGCAGTACAGTCAAACCTGTATTAGGCGGACACCTTCGGGACCCATGCGAGTGTCCGCTGAATACAGGGCGTCCGTTGCAAACAGGTTCCCTCAGAATTTGTCTCAAAAAGGTCATTGATATCCGTCAGTATCAAAAGACTTTGAAAGGGTCAAACAGCATTCTCGTGAACGGTCGATAACTCTGAAATACCGTATTTTCATAAAACTGACTAGTATATGAGGTAAAACGTATACAGTAACAGTATCTATATTGATCGAAGCATGCGAAGGTTGACAAAATCAAACAAGAACAAAAGTTCTGTAAAAACGTAAAAAACAAAACCGAATAATAAAATATCGCATTTCTGTGACAGCCCAGTATGTTGGCAAACTTAAATGACCGATCTACTAAAACCTGGACAAAAAAAAAAATAATGCATTTTTTTTTTTGCAGTGTCCGTTTGATACAGGTTTCTAACAATAGAAATGACCATAAAAGCAGTGGTGGATCTAGGGGAGGGGCTCGGNTTTAAGGTGTCCGCGTCGACTTCATAGAGGTGTCCATTGAATACAGGTATTTTTTTTTACAGTGGAGTGGGAAAAGAAAAATGGGACTTGCACTGCCGGCCCGCTTAAAAGAGTGTGTCCGCTTAATATGTGGTCCGCTCAATACAGGGTTGACTGTATTAGAAAACAAACAAGTGAGCACAGCGAACGAGTGAGTTTTTTGATCCATATCAAGAGTGAATAAAAATCGTACAAAGCATTTTCCATGCTGTAATGTGTTTATTTCATAGGTCGGAGAGTTTTTTTTCGAGTAGCATTTGGTAGACAAATTACACAAATGGGGCGATGAAAAGCGTGAAAAATAGTTTATAATCGCTCAACAACAACTAAGTTAACTAAAGCTTATAAAATTTACAAAACTTACTGTGTTTATCATATATGTCTAGAAGCCTGTCGTTTTGAATTCCTGCCTTCTGAACCATTGTCTTCATTGAACCGTTCAGTTTGTTAACGCCAGCAGCGCTGGACTTGAAATGAACCAGCCTTTCTTGCGGGTGAGTCTGCCTTTAAAATAATGTTTACGGCGAGGTAAAAGGGAGCATCGTCTTGATTCCTTTCCTCAGGTCTCTTCATAGCAAAAAACTGTAAGCCGCGACAGGATCTCTTTCAGTTTCGTCGGTCGCGGACATTTCCGGTGGTACAGCTCTGACATCGCTGTAGTCTGATCCAGTTCTAGCTTTTGTCTGTCTTTCATTAAACTCCAAGTACTCCACTCCGCTTGCCGTTTTGTGTAGCTTTACATCTCCCCAGCACATATCACGATGTCCTTTGCACTAACGGAGTCCAAAGTGAAGAGTATTGTTTCGCCAGTGCGAGTCTAAAAGTGCCTCGGGACTACACATACCGAGCAAACCCTTGTCGTACATTACTTTGAACTCTTCGCTCTTCAAAGCTACCGATGCGTTGGGTTTATTCCCTTTTACTTGCCTCTTTAGCTGTTTTTCCTTGGATTTAAGAACTTTTCTGGTTTTCTCAAAGACCAAGTCGTTGATTTTGCTGGCAGAATAGCCCTTTTTCTTCAAGTGTCGTTCGAACCTGGCAATTAAACTTCGAAGCGAAGTTGGCTCGTATTCGGTGCCATCTTTAATGCGGACGGAGATAATAAATTGGCTAACGTATTCATTCAGCTCAACGGCTGAAATATCTTCAAGTTTCCTGTCTTCGTCCTTTGTTTTCAAATATCTTTCAAGCAATCTGACATCTCGTTCAGTTTTTTGAGCGGTGTTTTTGTTTTCTTGTTCTAAAATAAATTCTTCAACTGAGCAAACTGAAGCAAACCTCCCCTCGACCATTTTTCAAAGCCTGCGGGTTTTTGTGCAACGGCTCTCGGATGACGTTCTCTTAAGTGCGTTCATTCATCATTAGTGAAATTTCGTCGTTTGCGTTGCTGATTGCACGAACGATATTTTTTCACGGTGAAATTTTGTCGTTTGTGTTCCTGATTGGCTACATTTAGAATCAGTACGAATTTTATCCACTATGATTTCGTGGGTAAATCTCAGTACCTATGAAATAAATAGAAAATACGCCATCCGAGTCCCGGATGTGGTTTCGTATGAATTTTACGAGTGGTGTATTTTCCAGTAAAACACTCATGTGTATATAATAAATTGCGTTACACTAAACACGCATTGTCCAGATGTTTGCATAACTTTATTTTGTGAGTGAACGCGGACGACGACGGATTTTGATTTTTCCCCGGCGAAAACGAATTTGCTTTACTCTTAAAAAGCTTAGACTTTCAACACAAAATTAATTTTATTCGAGGTTTTCGATTCAGTCATTTCTCAGATAAGAACCACAATTTGACCTTGCTGTTATTCATTGTTATGTATGTATAATTTCATTCGGAAGTTTTTGATAGCTGTTATTCAGCCGTTCAGCCTTTCACAGCTAGCGGTTCAAAAACAAACTACAGCCATTCAGCCGTTCGACTTCTGCCGTTCAAAACTTTTCGTGAGCCGTTCAGCCGTTTGACCTCATCCGTTCAAAAATTTTCTTCAGCCGTTTAGCCGTTCAATGTGTCCGTTTTGAACGGTTTGTGGGCCCGTTTCTTACCCATTCACTTGCCTTGCGTTCAGCCGTTCGAACGGACACCACGAGGAACGTTTTCGCGTGAGAGGTCACAGTTTAGGCTCAGGTCAAACGTCGAACTTCACATGAGACGAACTACTGTAAATTGCAATTTGAGTCGATCCGAACGGATACAGCTATGGTCGATCCTAATTTGAATTTAGATCGACCAAACGTCGAACTTATCAGGAACTTAATTCGCTCAGTTTAGTCGAGCAGCTTAGTTCGTCTCATGTGAAGTTCGACGTTTAACCAAAGTGTTGCGTTTTATTCTGTGAAATATTGATGTAATTCATTAAAAGGATAAAACCCGGGGATAAAACAAAAGTTTATTTATTTTTATTTTTTTTTTTATCTACCGCGAAATCATAATTATTTGTCGTTAGCCGAAATTATGTGAGATTGTTATGGAGAATGCAACAAATTGGATACGCAACGATGATTGTACGAAATTGATATCAAGCTTTGGAGATCATAAATAATAATAATAAATGACATACGAGAGCAGTTTTCCCGGGGGTGGGGTACTCCTTGGATATTTGGTGAGAGTGTACCACACGGATTCCTAAATCTTGGCCCTTACAGACAAATTCGGCTAACACACACGTGTCATTGAATTGGGTGTTTACATTGCGTGAAAACGAGGCTCCCTTAACATTTTCTTTCTTATTGCAGCCGCCTGTATTTGTTGTGTTAATCATGTGCATTGCCTTAGTTGTTTATTCAATAAAGAATAGAAATGGTCAAAATCCTCGAGGAATTTTCCAAAATTTGGCTCAGCGAACGTGGTCTTCGTGGTTCGAGCAAGGCGGAAAAGAATGCTGGAGAGAAAAGCCATAAGTTCTTTAGGGACGGGTATGTTTACGATGTTTATACGTGTCAGCAGTTAGAGGATTTTCATGTCAAGGCACGTTGCTAAAGATCTCTAACAAAAATTAAGGAGCCTCATTTCAGCCGTAATCTTCAGGGAGAGCGATGGCAGGGCAGAAATTTTTAATTAAAGCACGCTCTTTGTGTAAGGGAGGAAGTGGTGGACATTGCAATGATGTATTTGCATTATTGTTCCAGTTGAATGATTATTCATGTTTTAATATCAAAGTGATGCAATCTTTAAAAGACTACTCCAGTCTTGGCGTATTTCGAGAGAAGTTTCTCTGTGTTAATGACAATTGATTTTCTTGTTGCAGTATCCCAGTAAATCTGCATTTTTCTATCTAGATTAGGCAACAGAAATTGTAAAATATTCGTGAATTCACTATGACTGTTAAATCCAGGGAAAAGTGTAATAAATTTGCCCTCTTTCTTTGGGCTGTACATTCGGAAAGAAGGCAGGATACAGAAAAATTATGTAACCGGGGAATTCTAAGATGTTCATCTAATTAACTACAGATTTCATCCTCAAGATGTTTGTGCCTTGCTTTCGAGAAATAATTTCTTCGCCAGTCCTGGTCGAGAACAACGTAACACATTCTCCTTCAGATACTGACGAATCCGTTGCTTCATTTTCTTTTCTACTTTGATTCATCTTTCTGAAGCGTACCTCTTCACCGCTTGTACCTTCTCCTGCTTATCTTTATCCCACGAAAAAAAAGGAACTGCATCGGCCTTCAATCGATTTTTACTAGAGTAAGGATTAGTAAAATCTTCTGATGTAAAGTCTTCGCTGCAGTACTGACGTTGAAATATCGTGGATCTCTTTTCGTTTTCACGATCCAAACGGAGAGCAGACTTTTAAAATTTAACGAAAACCCGTGAAACGACAGATCTTTTCGGTTAGCAGAGCTGTTCTGACAGTCTCCGGTGCAACAAAACCGCGGAATCGTGGCTTATTTTTCTCTAAATGTCACTACGAACGCACTTGTTTTGGTTGTTGTTGTACCCAATTCAAGTCACGTGACACCCGCACGTGAGTTAGCCCAATTTGTCTATTACGTTCTTTTGCATACCCGTTTCAGTTTCACCTCAGATGTTTGCTTCATGCAGGGACCTTTAACCTCGTGGGTCGAGTTTTGTATGTATCGTCATAGTCATCTTTTATGATTGTTTGCCAGCATTTGTTTAATCCTAGGGTTTGTAAGCGGTATTTTGCAGTTCAGGCTATGACTAGCTGTCTGCTTGACGCCTCTTCGCTTCCATGTTTCGTGCATGTGGTAGTCAGCCGTGTGTCTAGCTCGCTGTGTATAGGAATAACTGAGTGTCCCCTAGGAAGAGGGGAACGGCTGCATTTTGTGCCTATTTAATTTCAGGAAAAATTAGATGAAATGTAACATTTTTAGCCGTGTGCCGTCAGTACGCTTTGTTTAGGTGCTGTCCACTGCTGAGATCACAGTTAGAGTGAAGCGGAGGGGAGAAGGGGGAATGACATAGATAGCGCGCTTGTCTATAGTGCGTTGAACTCCGAGCTGGGACACTAGCCTGGATAATTTTGTTGAGTTCTGAAGCAAGACACTTAAATATGCCTCCCTCCACTATAAAGAGTATAAATGACAGGGGTAACGCTGCGATGGAGGAATATCATTCCATCCACAAAGGGTAGAAATACTCGTAGTCCCTTCATACCATGGAACCAGAGATGATCGTCGCCCTGTCGGGCCTCTAGACTCAAATGCAGATTTCATCTTTTTACCAATTAAGTTATTTAAGTTTCGAGGTAAAAATCGTTTCCCAAGGATTATGCATAGGGACATAAATTAAGAAGACGTTACAAGACCTTTACAAAATTCATGTATTCGGTCTTAAATGGACTTATATAGTTTCAGGAGTTTTAATACTTTGTGAGAGACACCGACAATTTTGCCTTGTTGCAGTCTGTGGACTACGGTTCACCTCGCCCTTTAACGGAAACAAGCTGACTGGAGTTCTTGGTTCATCTGTTAACTTCACTTGGGCGTTTCATGGAGGAAACATAGACAGAGTTGCCTGGGGAACAAAAAACGATGGTTCTGTTAACATTAAAGATGTTCTGGTTTCCATAGACAAGCTCCAAACAATCGCTACTACACAGAATCCTCCATACAGTGGACGTGTAAGTGGAGAATGGAATGGAAGTAGTCCTGGACGGGCCACTTTCAGACTGAGCTCAATCCAGAAAGCAGATGAAATGTTCTATGTTTGCAGACTTACACCTGAAAGTCTTGTTGAATTACCTGTTTATGATACTGTTCAGTTGCTTGTGGTGGGTAAGTGAACAAAATTAAAAGTAAATCACCTGACCAATTACTCCCCCAAACTCTGTTTTCTATTTTTAATTTTGTATTTAAAACTAAGAGATTGTACTGATACTAGCTTCAAACTTCGATCTGATATTGTTGAAGCAGTAAGTTGCTGTTTTTGAAAATTTGCGGTTTCGTGTTTTAAGTAAGTACAAGTCAGTTCATTTTTTATGGTGTTATATAACTTACTATAACCTGCAAGTGTAAGTAGTTTATACTCCCAACATTTATTGCATGATATTTTTTTTCCATCTTTTTTTTTTATTTGCAATAACACAAGGGAAACCAATGCTTACTTACAACACCAACTCTATTTACATTACATTGCTCTAATTATTTACACTATTTAAATTACAATGTCTAAACGACTTACACTACTAACAAATACAGTTACACTACTTACACAACTAAGGAATACAGTGACGACAAGGGGCAAAGAAAAAAAGAAGAAAAATAGCTAGTTATCATTACAGCTTGAGGTTGTAGTATAGAAACATAAAAAACAGACCAGAGGCATGTGGTACTTTAAAAGTAAAATGAGTTATGCATCTGACAGGAGATTAGAAATAGATTAATGGGTAGGAGATAGATAACCCTATACAAAATACAATCCAGAATATTAATTAAATCCTCATATATCCTGTAAGAGGTTTCCATTTCTTTGTGTCTCCACTTTTTGTTTCTATCTCATATTGTGATTTTAGTGTGCATATGAAATGAGTAAGATTTGGATGATCATCTTTTGTTTTAGCGAGCCATATGTGATATCGTGCTAAGAGAAAGCAGTAATTGATAAGAAGCGCACATTGAGAGATATCTGGCCTCAGACCCAAAGCAGTAATATTTGTCAAAGCATAATCTCTAGGAAGTAAATTTAAGTTTTCTAGCCATTCAGTAAGTTTATTCCAAAAGTGAGATGTTTGGCGGCATGACAGAAGAAGATGAATTATTAACTCAGAGGAGGTGTGACAAAAACTGCACTTTTTATCGCCCTGTAGACCTATTCCAAATAAGAAGTTATTGGTTGGTACATGCCTATGTAAGAATTTAAACTGAAACTCTATCAGCTTAGTGCTCTTTGTGCATTTTTTAGCTAAAAGATAGGCAGCAGTCCAATTTATGTTGTCATTTATT